CGATACAGAGCAGCAACTTCCGTCACTGCTAACCCACTCAAATTAGTGAAGAGCCCTTGTGCATCTCACGATTCATGGCTCCGAGGGTATAACTTGGCTTCTCCTTTACTGCTCGCAGCACCTTGTCAATGGCACGCATCACGGGGCGAGAAATAGAGATGTAGCACGTGGCGTTCGGTTGTTCAAGTGGGCATGGCCAAGTGAGCTGAAACTCCAGTCCGTGTGAGCAGGGTTAGAAGGGAACAGATGAAACCAGAGACACCGGAGAAGTGCCCACAAAGAAACAGGGCTTCTTGTGATTGCTTCTGTCTCGCAGCTCTTAATAAGCCCCATCACAGCTGCCATCTCCACCAGCTATCTGCTTCCTCGTGTAGACAACCAGGAACAGAAGAGCTGATGTGGTGATGGCGCTGTACACGTGCTGTGCAGCATCTCGCTGCTAGCGCAGCGTGAGCAAAACACCAGCACGCCCTGCACCCTGGGCTCCCACACCAGCTCTCAGCGTGACCATGCGAGAGACACCCGCCCAAAAAATTCAGTCCCCTGGAGAGCCCCCGGTGCCCACCAGCAGGGAGGATGAGCGGCATGTGCAGGGCAGCCTCCATCGCGGCCTCCATCTCGGGAGGCTGTCGCTAAGCAACCAGGGGCTCCGCTACCCGCAGCATCCTCCCCGCAGCATCCTTCTCTCCCCTCCTCTCCTCTCGGTGCCCAGCCGCGGGCTCCTAGCCCCTCAAAACCCGGTGTGCAGAGCAGCTCTCCTCAGGGGCTCGGGGAGCACCGACAGTGAAGACTGCAGATAAAAGTGTGTCAACAATACCATGCTTCGGAACAAGATAAAAGGGCAGAAGGGGAAAATTGGATGCATCTGACCAGAAGTACTCAGTAAAGCAGAACTGGGAGATTCCAGGTATCGTTTGCAGGGCAGGAGATGGATTTCCAAGGTCCCCACCGTGACTGAGCACAATTACAATTGTAAAGTCTCCGGTTTTGGCAGGACCACAAAAGCAGGTGACCCCCGAGACCAGTGCCCGCCCTGCAGTGACAAAGGAGCAAACGCCTTCCCAAACCCTGCAGATACGGACTGCTGGTACAGAGGCCATACAAACAATAGGACCAGTTTGAAGTTCGATCCATCCTATAGAAGGCAGTGCTCTGCAGAGCGCACGGCCACCTTAATTACCATGCACTTAGCAGCAGCTCTCCCCTCTGCACACTGAGTACATTTCCCATCCACACGTTATTCTGTTATTGATGCTGATGAGGTTTGTAGCTCTCAAATCCCATTAGGGAAAGCCTTCCTCTAGCAAAGAAAAAAAAAAAAAAAAGTGTCTTGAGAAGGTGAGGGAAAGTTCTTTCTTGATTTAAAAATAACATTGCCACTTGGTTGTTATCACGCCTTTCTCATTAGTGATTTTTAAAGCATAATGCTTTAAGAATCAACATTTTGAATCCCCCATTTTACAGGAGGAGGAACAAACAAATACAAAGCGACTTGCCCTAAATCAACCATGAATCCTTTGGCAAATTCAGGAGGAGTTTCTACATCTCCCAGGCCACGCAATGCTCCAAGAGAACCAACACAATGACAGAAATCCCCTCCCGACACTAGAAAGGATTTAACCCTGGTGGTAGATGTAAGATTTTTTTTTTCTTGGACACACAATAAATGCAAATGCAGATATTAGCTACATAGGAGGCTACAGGTGGGATTTGTCCAGCTTCAACCTCACATCCTTTTGAGTGTCTTAGATAAAAACCAGCTTGAGAATAGCAGAGCCAACGTGATCAATACATTAAGTCAAGCTGTTTGTTACCAGAAGAGTAGAACTGGCAGCTCTTCTTGGCTCCTGCAATATGACACATAACCTGGCCTTTCTAATGCGCTGCTTTGGCTGGCACCCAAATCCAGCACCATCTGGCCAGCATGCGCGTATGTGTACAAAGAGGACAGAAGAGGCTCCTGGCTGACAGATGAAGTGACATATCAGTGCAGCGACACGGACTCCAAATCTCTTCAGAGGCTGCAGAGCCAGCTACGCGCCGTGGAAACTGGCGGCCAGCAAAGTGACTTCAGGGCACTGCGGGCTGAGAGCTGCTTGTCCACGAGAGAGCCGGGTAAACATTTGTTTTGTTTGTAGAAACCCTTAGCAATGCCACAAAAATATGCAAAATTATTTTCCTGGGGTAGGTTCAAAGCAGAGGGTATCGCATTTCCTTCCCTGCCCAAAAGCTAATCCCTGCATTCAGAAGCCTGATTTTTCCACCTCTGTTTTAACATTCAGCCTTGCATGACGCGCTTCTGGCATCACCCAGCAGCCAGAACCAACGTTACCCCACGGCTTAGAGCTTCCCAAAGCTTGGCCCGCCAGCTGCGGCACAGGCTGCTCCTTCCTCCTGTCCTGCCACCAGGACGCCACGTGCGGGTTCTGCTCAATTCCACTTTGAGCACTTCAGTGATGGTTTGGCAGTAAGGAAATGGGAACCCTGGGTAGCAGCACGAACAGTGAGCTGTCCTGGAGAACGAGCGGGGTGTCTGCTGTCACATCTAACAGCCCGTCCTGCATTCACTCCATGGTTTTATTCAGCTGTTAACTCCACCAAGGTACGGAGAGTCACACGGGTAGAAAAGGGAGAGCAAGCTTTAACTCAGTTTATGCCCACTAAAAAAAAAAATAATTATCACTGGGAATCTGACAAAACAGCTACTGTGGCTTAAGAAAACACGTAGCCACCTTGCCTTCCTCCTGAAGGCTGGCATGCCAAAGCCAGAAATGAACATATGCTGGCCTGATACAGACACACCATGGCTCCTATGGGAATGGCCACTCAACACCAAACCCCGGCTGTGTCAAGGCTGGGGGGTTAGAAAGAGCTTTAAATTATGTCCGTCATTTGGAGGAAACCATCCCCAGGAATGGGATCAAAGGCTCCCCAGCACCATGCTCAATTCTTTCACTTGAGCAGTGAAGGCATCACACGTTGTTCGTGTGCCTCTCCTCTCTGCTGAGCTGCTCGGCAGCACCATGCAGGTCCTTCGTGCTGCTCCCCACCTGGCTGTGCAGCGTGTCAGCAGGGACACACTGCAGATAAACCACCGGCGGTTTTCAATCAAGTTTTTAACCAAGCGAAGCAGAAAGTCACTGCCTCTACACACAGAGGGCATTTGACCAAGAAAATTCAAGTGAATGGGAATCTTTGAAAAAGGACAGAACCTCTGGGAACCCTGCAGATTACAGCATCCTTTTTGCTGTTGTCCAGCATTAACTATCCTCTGTTAATGCTACAGGTCGCACATTTATTGCACCTTCTACAAAGATGCCACTAGGAACATTTTTATCCTTGTTTTCAATTCCCTTAAGAGCCCATCATGAAAGCTTTGTGATTGTTAAAACACTGGAAGTTCAGTAGGTGCCAATCCCAATTAATTCTATTACAAACCACAAAGAATTAACCTTATTTTCTTTTCTTTGTATCTCAGCAGTTCAGGTGTACAAATAAATAAATACACAGTCAACAAACAACTAATGAGCTCTTATAGAAACGGCCTGAAGGTTCACAGGTCAAGCTTAACAGAAGAGTCAGGAGTTTTGGAGTTAAATATCAAGGCCAGAACAAAGGGCTAAGTTATTAACAAATCCCGCGATTGTAAAACAAATGGTGAGAGAAGTGTTTAAATACTTTAAAACCCTAGTACTGTAGACAAAGCACTCAATCCTTGTTCTGAGCCTGACCCACTTTTCATTCAGAGGGATCAGCTTGCCTTACAAAACGAGCCAACTATCCTTCCCTTGGTTTTGCAGGTGCTAAAGCTCCAAGCAGGAGCCACAAGAGGCACAGAGCATCCTCTCCCAGGCCAGCAGCATTGAGCTGCAGAGACGGCCCCACTGCTGCCTGCTGCAAGGCTCCTGCGGGCACCCGCTGCCAGCACTGTCCTCAGATTGCTGCTTCCCCTTATCTAATCTTACTTCTTGGTACTTCACAGTATCACAGGTTTGGCATTTTAAACATTTGAAAGAAAAAAGGAGACTGCAGAAGCGCCCAAGGCAGATTATGATTAAGGCACTGATTGTCCTTGCTGCCAGGGACAGGTGCTGGCGCGAGGGCCACTGTTACTGAGCGGCACACGGGGACCCCAGCCCTGCTCCTGGTCCCAGCTGGGAGCTGGCCTTCCTCCTCCTCCCCTTAGCTCCGTAAGCTCCTGGAGGAAAATACCGGACTGTACCCTTGGCTCAGCTCGCCACCTGGCAAGGCAGGCCCCGATCCCAGCCTCGGCAGCACCACGGTGCCACGTTCAGCCACAGGGCAACTGGAAATGCTCTGGTGGGCCCTGATGGAGCACGGTGAGCCGGAGCAGCGCCGAGCCAGCTCCGCGGGCAGCCACAGAGGTGGCAGTCCTGTCACCAGGCACAGAGCACAAAGGGAGAAGCTGAGGGCAAGGTGCTCGTGGCTGCTTCTGCCAGCGGTCACTGGGAAGTTTTCCAAGAAGCGATAACCCGAGCCCTAGCTGAGACAGTGTGATAAAGGAACAGAGAGACAGAAAACAAAGGGGAACTGTAAAAGATAGACAAAGCCCTTCTCCCCTTAGCACACCAAAACAAAAAGAATTAAAAAAAAGCATTTTAAGAGGATGCAAAGGAAAAAAAAACACTAAGCTCTATTCCAGTTTTGCACTTCTAAAATATGACAAACATATAATATTTGTTAAATGTCACTCAGGCTCAGATGCAGGTGTAATCCCCTGGTATATCTAACTCTCAGGACAATCACAAAGCCCCTTACTTGCCTTAAACCAACCCCTACCCACATAGTTTACTTTTACGCAGCAAAATCAATGCACCCGGGTAATAAAATCCATTTTAAAATCCATTGTTATCAATGAAATAGTAATTCCCAGGACCTAGTTTCACTTTGTGTTTCTGAAGAACCACTTATTCTGCAGGGCACTGCTGTTATTTGACATACCTTCCTTGGCTGGTCTCCCTGTCCTTTTCTATTTGCTGGATTACAAACATTTTGGAGGTTTGGAAAGCACAGTCTTTAACATTTTATAGAAACATCTGCCAACAGAGCTGCTAAACACTCTTGTAAAAGAGACAGAGATGTTTATTTAGACATGCTGCTGACGTTTCCTGTTGCATTTTGATCCTGAGGCATATGCAGTCCTTCCAAACAATTTAGCGTGCGTGTACAGTGGAAGCGCAGTTCTCGGAGCAGTGCAGCTGAAAGTAATCGAGACTGAAATTTCAGGCCCATCACAGCACAAACATTGCCAAAGCCCCTCCCAAGGCTCCAGGCAGAGCAAGTACCTGATGCTTCTGGAGAACCAACACTGAAAGACACGGAGTGGGACTGCGGGGCTTGTTTGGGGTGGTGTCACGGGTGGCTGGAGCGACGCAGGTTTCACCGGCACACAGGCTGCAGGGCTGCGAGGCACAGTGCCTTCACTGCAGGCTGGCCAGTTCCTTGCCAGCCACAACACACCACGGCAGCAGCCCTCCTAACACAAGGTGCCCAAGTCAGGCAGGAAACCAGGCTCACGCTCCCACGGCACCGCAGGTCCCCGCGCTGAGCGGGCTGGGTTACCCGCTTCGCTGGGTGCGTGTCGGCACCGAGCGGTGCGCAGGTGTGGCCTTACTGCTCCAGAGCCCTGCTCTCGGGTGGATTTAATTACAGCAGCCCAAAGAGCTGCCATCTGACTCCTCCCTGCCCTTCTGCTGGAATTTACCACTCCAAGCACAGCTGAGAGGAGAGCTGACCCAGCCCGTTCGTAACTTCTTGGATTACTGTCAGCTATCCACTGATCACAGCTAAACCACCCTCAGCTGCTGCAAAATCCCACTGGGATGATGAATCTGCATCCCTAGTCTCTCTGCCTTTGTTTCTTAGCTGGTAAAAAAGAGTAACTCCTCATCACAACGTTAACACCATTAGCTTGGGCTACAATTTTCAGGCAAGCTATGTGAGTACTAAAGGAAGAGCGTGATTGACCCCACATCCAAGGAACCGCCTCCCCCCAGTACCAACCAGCGCTGAATGACCCACGGCAGCTGAAGGGAGGGGAGAATCCCAAACCCCACTGCACGCTTCCGACACTTGATCCCTGGAAGCAAAGGATAATACTTGCAACAACAGATTATGAATCTGTGTATACAGAAAGGATTAATGCCGCTTGTTGGTCACAGAGATGAAGGAATATTAAAAAAAATATATAAAAAGGAGGCCTGTGAATTAAAGCTAACCACACGAAAATTAAGGAGTTTATTAAGGGCTACAGACCTAACAAACCAAGCAAGTAAAAGTACTTGCATGCAGCAGAGGAAGGGAAAATCATCCACTGCAGCTGAATTTACTGAGTGTGGATTGCTCCCTCCTCCCCAAAGAATGGTTTTGCAGAACTAGCTGCTTTACTTCGTATTTGGGTTTAGAACACCGAGGAAACAGAATGTCACTGCCTTAAGACCCTTGGAACCTCCTCACAGGGGAAAAAATAGATCTTTGCCTGTAAAGCTCGATCCTGCATGGTAGTGGCTGTGCCACAGATTGTTTTTTCTTCTGAGGCGCGTTTTAAGTTATTTGTGTAAATAACCATGCTGGTTACTCCCATCTGCTTTCCACAGGGAAGCATTTTAACTGTGAAGTAAGTAAATGACAAAAACTGGCATACAGTGAAAAATGCATTTTCTGCAACTACTCAAATTTTCTTTCACTTGAACCTGCTTTAACAATTCTGAGAATCTGCACATATTTGGGTAAAGCAAATTACTCCAATTAAAAAAGAAAGGGTGCTGCTATGATACTGAGACATTCTCTACGTACTCATAATTACTCGAAGAAATAGATTTTTTGGATTCTTTCTTTAGGGTCAAGAGGTTTCTAATTCCCAATAAAGGTCAAAGCATCTCGTTCAGATGAGATGATGAAGCTCCACAAGAGTTTGACTGAAAAAGGTCACCAAATCCAAATTCTCTCATATTCCTGAAATAAACTTTTAAATAAATGAGCCTTTGCTCAAGTGCTGAGGATATTTAAGGACATTGCAGTAAAACATATATACTGATTTCCAGTCATTCTTACCAGAGCGAGCTTGTACTAAGTGGCTACAAATCTGAATGAGAAACTTCTATCCATGCAAATTCTTCCAAGTGCTTTTTATGAGGTGGGAAGAGGGTGTACTGATAAAAGGCCAACACACAAAACTCAAGGTCAGAGTCTCTTTATAACAAGATCACATGGATTAACTCATAAATCAGCACACACACAGAGATGCAATGTTAACTGCACAGCAAACACTGCTTTAGTAGGAGGAAAACCTGATTCACTCACCTTCGCATCAACCTGTTAAGACACAGCACTGCATTTTCTGTCCTATCACAGACACCACTCCTAAGAGCCAAACCCACAGCATAAATAATCTGTTAAATGAACCCATAATCCATATCCAACCCATAATGCATATCCAACTTGAGGATGCACAGGGCTCAGGTTTGTGCCTTCCCACAACTACAAGGATGCAAGCAGATATTCTATGCATAGATCCCCTGCTCCATCTGGAAACCTTCCCTGAGGGGGAAACAAATCCAGGTAGGTCTGTTCCTACAGATTACCAAAATGCATCTGAAACAACCTTTTGGGCCACAGAGGCTTGCCCAAACTAAAGCTAGCACGCACAGATGATTAGCTCAGAAATTAGTCACATTAGCAGGTTAAAAACATGAGCAACCATCAGGAGAGCTTCCTGCTACCGATCCCAGCACAGAGCGCTGAGCCAGCCCGTCACAGAACTGCAGCTACAAGTCGCTAACAAGCACCTTCCAAAAGCTGCTTTTCTTCTTCGTTCTCCAGCACTGTTTGGATTCATACCACAGGGTTAATTTGCCAAGTGACAAAAAAAGTCAGAGGCATCCCAAAAATAGGTCCAAAATCACCACCCTGGCAGCAGGGGGTAGTTTTATTCCAGAATGTTTGACAAGTTCCTCAGTCACTCTGTCCAACATAATAACTTCCTTGCCTGCTTTCCCTCACCTTGCTGCTTGCTCCCTGCAGTATTTCATCTGGGAACTTTCCCCAATATCGAAATGCACGATTTGAGGCTGCCCACGCAGTCCTTGCACTATCTCAGTCTCCAGTCAAGGTAAGAGTGGGCAAGAACGGAAGAGCCAAGAAGCAAATGTAGATACTGGAAAGGGAATAGTAAAGATCATTTTACAATAAAGGTCATTTTCCAAAGAGTAAGCAGGGGCCAGGCAGGGATGTCTTTCTTTTGAGAGCAGTGCAGGAGTTGGAAGCTTCCTCACCCCCAGCTTCCATGCACGCAGCAGCAGAGCAGCGGGGCCCCTCCACGCCTGGCACCAGGCCGCACACACCGCTCTGCAGCACCCAGGACCCTCCATTCAGCCCTGCAACACGAGGCCCCAGCACGCCCAGCCCCAGACGCGCTCCCGGTATAAATCACTTCAGCCACTATTCAAATACCTTCCTCTGAAATCCCTTCCAAGAATTCAGAACCAGAAAGCCCCGAGCAGTCTCTCAGATAACAGCCTCCTTTCAAAGAGCAGGCAGAAGCGCCAGCTACCTGCCAGCTGAATTATTTAGGAGCCCCGTGCGCGGGACTTTGAGGCGCTCCTCGTTGCTGCTGGTACAGTCCCTTCACCTCCAGACAGACAGCTCGGTGTCTGGCTCAGACTGACGTGCAAATAACAAGACCCCTTTGTGCTAGAACAGAGGCTCTCTCATGTGGCCAAACTCACGAGCTAAAGAAGAGAAATACAATACTATATATAAAACCCAGGCTCGTACAAACACCATTACAGACTCATGATGAGGCTGTGCTTCCTTCTGTGGCAAATTACATATCCAACCCCTAACAACAGCTTAATTTGTCTCCCACCTTCCCCCTCTCCCCTCCTTTATTTTTAATTTCTGGCAAACTTAGCACTTCTAAAGACAAGTGCTTCAGAATGGGTCGGAGCTTGACGCAGACAGACGAGTTTCCCCACTAAGCCCTGTTAAAACACACGCTCTAATTCAGCCTTTGCTCAAGGAAGGTTTCTGACTGCCAGATAAGCCACACAGCATTTCTGTAACGTGGACAAAAATCCACTACGAATTAGTATAAAACCAAACTCATTTCCTCTTCAGGCTAGGGCCAAGATTTGAATCGAGGTCCCAGGAGGTAAAAAGACTACAGCATTATAAATCATTTCTGGCTGCTTATTTGCCTTACTTCCGTATTTTTACACTTATCTGAAATCCACATATGTGCAACATTAAAAAGAATGGTGGGGTATTTCAGATTATAACTTAAGAGACAAGAGCAAGCGGTTGCTTCGAAGGTCTGTGAATTGAAACTTTTGTACTGTGTGCCTTCATCAGCACATTTGTTACAAAATAAAAAAACTGAAATGAATTTAATCACAGCAACCTTGATTCACCTCTCAGCTGCATAACACAAAGACATGCCATGATTCTGTATTTCCAGGACTTAAACACCTTAAAATCCCTGGATAAGAGTTAACACCCTTTCATTTCACTAACTGAACTAGTAATTTGACTCAGAAAATAGCTACAGATGTGGTTTCACATTTGTACAGGTTAGGTGTATGGGAGTGAGGGCACTTACAGATATCAGCAAGTCTTTTTTATTTTGCAGGCTAGAAGTTACCCAGGGCATGCAGCTGGTAATCAGTTCCAACAAATTTATCACTTCAGGTACAAATCTCATAGCTGTCATTTAACCTTGCTGATGGGAAAACGAATCAAACACGGCCAGACTTCAGAAGCAGCAGCAAAGTCAAAAAATGGAATCAGAGTTTCCAGCGATCCCACCTTTAAGTCTTGGTTCTTGGGGCATAATCCTTCCAGAAACACGAGCCGTGTGAGAACTGCTGCCTTAGGAGAGGGAACCACCATCCGCACCAAAACCCAGAGGCTGTTCTGCCTGGAGGAAGCCACTCGAATCAGGAAAAGGTTTACAACACTGCTTCGAGGATCCACGAAGCCCCAGCCGTGGATCAGACCCTTCCCATGGAAGATGGCAGCAACAACGCGCACTTCATGAGACAGGGTGGGAAAGGAAAAGTCAAATATCGACGCAGGCCAAAGATCTCCCTGCGAGCTCAGTGTTTCCCAAGCTGTCAGTAATGAGGCTGCTGCTGTCACTTACCCACTCAGTCACTCTCTCCCATCAGACACTGATAGCACGCCTGTCACAGCCGCAGCGATGCCGGAGTCAGAGATGACAAATCGCAGGGAAGACGTGTCAACACAATCAACTGGCCTGAAGACAGACAGCTGGTGCGCAAATTCCTCCACAGACAATATCGCTTGTGAAATCATTCCAAGGCATTTTTAGCAATTGCAAGCTCTCAACAACAGCCCCGGCTGCTAAAAATAGCCTGCCGAAGGCTCGCTCCAGCACTAATAACAGCACTGGCTGAATGTGAGTCCTGCCCCACTCGGTGACACACGAGCAAAGCAAGCACCGACCTCGGCGAAGCTGGAGGTTGGAATGCTCCGAGCCCTGGCACCTCTAACACACCCGTATCGCAGTATTCCAAGTCAGCTGCTAATGGATCCCCCGAAACGCCAGCTCTCGAGACAGGCAGACAGGGTCCTCCACCGCAAGGTAAGAAGTGAAGGCTCAGATAATTCTTCAGCACAAATACACATCAGCGTGGTTCAATACAAACCCTCCTCACTGCGAACAAAAGGGACCAATGCATCAAAGGTGCTAAGCGT